TAGGGTTTTCCTGCAGAAAAGTGCATTGGTTTAGGGTAGGTTCTAACTGTTCTCACCAGGCTAAGGCCCCCAAGGTGCCCCCATTATAGGGTCCCCACTCTCCAGCCGTCCGACCATGCTCAACACTAAGGCCAGAGTCGGTCTTGTTGCCAAAAGAGGAAGGTTATCACCTTGAGTGGTGGTTTCCGATCACACTGGTGGGCACAAGGCTCTAACTGCAGCGAACCGTACCTGCCACCCACTCCCTATGGTTATCTCACTTGCCCCCGGGTATAGGAGGAACTGTAGTGTGCAAGGGACTTGTGTGCAATTTATATTTCAACCAATTGCGTAAGTATAAACAAACAACAGTTTATTGAAAGCCAAACAATAAAGCATGTTATAATACAAGGTAGGGTAAAAGCGCTATTTTCTTGGTTTAATTATTTTTAGGCTAGCCCATCACTAAATGGGATCAACTCTCTAGGCTTCCCCAGCGGAGTCGCCATCTGTCGCCGCCGTCTCAAAAGAGAGAGGGTCGGTCGGAGCGACACGATGGTTTTTCGACTCTTCTATTGTTTTCGCGTTTTTTTATTGGTGGTTACAACGTCTTTAGGTTGTCCGATAACCGGGCTAACCTAGAGACGAGGTTTTCGAAAAGTGTCCTTGAGTTGTCCGATAACCGGGCTAACCCAAGGACTTATTTATTTTGGGTTCTATGGAGTCGCCACCGATATTTTTACCATAAACATCGGAAAAGGGGTTTAAAAGGCGTTGGTTTTCGAAAACCGACTTTGGTCATTAGAACCAGAGTTGGGTAAGGGAGTTAGTTACGTGTAAAGGAAGTGTTAGTTCCTTTATGACGCCCCTTTCGGGTTCCCTATGATAGGCTGGCTAGCTTGAATAAATAATTAAACTGGAAAATAACGCTTTTACCCTTTTATTATGCAGTATTGAAATTTACGACTACATGGCCCTAGCTTCTATTGCATATATTTAAAAGCGGTAAAATTTAGAAGGAGAAAGAATATGCACCTCCAAAGCATGCTTTATGTATTCTCTTCAAAAGAGAGGGTGCGTTTTGGCAACCCTTCACTCTACAAACTCTCAGAAAACTCCGGAAATGCCTCGGAGGGATCCTAAAGAAGATTTAGAACGCTCAAAATGCTCCTAAAGACACTCAGAAACTCCGGAAATGCTTCGGAGGGATTCTTAGAGAGAGAAAATCTAGAGAGAAGGGAGAGCTCTGTGAATTCTGTGTGGAAATGAGGGGGGGAGCGCCCCTATTTATAGTTTTCGCGCCTGACAGGTCGAGACCGCCATCTGATCTGACAAGGGTCGAGACCGTCGTCTGGAAAGTCCAGACCGCCATTTCGTCCATGGCAGAAATCGGGACCGCCGTCTGGAAAATCCAGACCGTCGTCTCGTCGATGGCAGAAATCGAGACCGCCGTCTTGAAAATCCAGACCGCCGTCTCGACTTTGCAGGAGACGAGACCGCCGTCTGGAAAATCGAGACGGCGGTCTCGTCCTGGCGTTGAGACGAGACGGCGGTCTGGTCCTTCCAGACGGCGGTCTCGTCCCTTCAGGGCGAGAAACTTTATTTTTGGGCCAAAAAACCTTCCTATCCTAGTACGGGGGCCTAATAGTCTCTCCTAGTGGCTTGTTAGGCTTTGGCCGTCTTCAAATAGGAATCTTTCTGACTTTATTTTGAGGCCGGGCAAGATTTGGGGTCTACAGGAGTGTGTTAAAAGGGAAGAGAAACAAGGTGGAATGCTTGGAATGGGGTATCAAGGGCCAAATCCGCGCACAGCATAAATAGGGGACGCCAGGGGATTTGGGACGTGCGTCTCAACTGAAAATAGGGTTTTGGGACGGCCGTCTAGACTTTGGGATGGCCGTCCCGAGCTTCCTGAGTGGGTTTTTGATTTTTTTGAGTTAATTTTCGTGTTTTTTGATGAAACTGAAGATAGGTATCTCTTCATTTATGTTTTAATGCATGTAATGCTTCATGATATGCATCCTAGGATCTATTTCAGTTAATATTTCGAAAGTTTTAACCGATGTGCTTTGACTCGGGCGCATTCTTGCTTGTTGTGCCTTTATGTCATCTTGTTTCTTGATCAACAAGCTAAGTCGTACTTGATTTGCCGTCATGGACCTTTCTTGTTATAGCCGAAGAACAATTCTTCTGTTCGTAGGGTAACTGCCATATCAATGCCCTCCTTCCTTTCCTTAGGGATTTTGACCTTCCTATTGATCACTATGTTACCACATTCCCCTTTATTACTTGAATGCTTTATAGTGAAATGGTCAAGAGAAGAGAAAGAAAAGGATTTACAACAAAAGCTTGTGTTTTAGAGGGATTCTTTTTGTAGTAGAGGTTTTTGTAAGAATGGCTAGCCAAGGTTGGTCGGTGTTTAGGCTAGTTTAGATAAATGTTTTATTCTTATGATGTGGCGTCGTTGTTTACTGATTTATAGCGCCTTTTTGTGATTGACTAACTTCCCTAGTCCGCCCTTTCGGGTTTTCAGCCTAGGATGTTGTGCTTTTTGTCCTAATTTTTGTCTAGGTTTCCTTTTTGTATTTATTTTTTTAGGAATACCTAGCGGACTTTTATAACCCTAACTTTTGCCCAGGCTACCCTTTATTATTGTTCGGGTTTCGTGCCGGGTTTACCCTAACTTTTGTGCAGCCCCCTTTGTGGGTTTCCCGCCGGGTATTTTGCCCTTTTATTTTCTTGTCTTGGCCTTTGGCCTTGACGGGCTCTCCTTTTTTTGTATATGTATATTTTTTTCCACAACATTATCGAAACTTGACTTTATTGAGATAAATTTTATCAGTGTTTCTAGTTAATCAATCGTATTTGACTTTGCTTTATGACGCGTTGCTTATTCTGACGCAATTTGGAATAAAACGTTTATCTAAACCTTGTTTATTAAAATGGGTATAGATACATTTAGTAAGAAAAGAAGCGAGATAGTAAGAATAGCATTCTTTTGTAATTTCGGGGAAATGTGTGCCCTAAAGATGT